GGAGGAAAATTAACCTCCTTTGTTGTTGAAGAAGTTGGGAGAATTACGGGTCTTCCAATGGGAAGATCTATAGTAGACACGCGGTTTTATAGAAGTGATTGTGATATAATCTACAAGCTTGTGCTTTCATATAGTACTAAGGTTGAAATTGAAGAAGATATGAAGCACAGGACTAGAAGAGGTAAGAAGAAAAGTGATGAGGGTAAGAGGTCGATTGTGTGTGCTAGAAGAGATAGGATGTGTGAACTTATCAAGCAGATGGCTGAGCTTAAAGATCATCTTTTGCCACAGATGCTCATGGATTTCATTATAGGCTTCATATTATGCCCTCAAGCTAGTATGTGTTGTCCCTTATTTGCATTTAGATATACTGAGAAATTAGGCACTCTTAAGGAGTATAATTAGGCTGAATTAGTATACAATGTGTTGTGTTCTGAGATGGATAAGGCTAAGAAAACCATCACTAAGAGGTTTTAGGGAAATTTCAATCTAGAGGTGATTATATGGGGGGTTTTGCCTCGGTTTTAGTGGTAAGTTAACATTTACTATATTTTTATGTCATTCTCCATTGCATATATGTATGTCATTTAGTCATGTTTATTGTTGAGCTAAAATTTTCATTTTCTCACAGATTTGATTTTATGAGCTTGTGAGAAAATTAAGTCTTCGCATAGGAGCAGAATCCCTACCATTCATCCTTAGCTTCTACAAGGGTTTAAGAACTTTACGAAGGAGTACAGTTCAAGATTTAATTAGAGATCCGGATAATTTTAGAAAGCATGTTATCGAGTCGAGGGCTCATAAATTTGAAAAGAGAAAAACTGCAACTACATCCACTGCAACTGAATCTGTCCCTACAAGATTGAAGAGAGAGAGAGAGAGAGGTGTATATATATTTTTTTATATATATATATATATATATATATATAATTCCATGTTAATTAATTGCTCCCAATGCTTTTACAAAATTATTTTTATTTGATGTTCTTCCCTAAATTGAACTTTACTTGGGTTATTTATATGTAGGTAATCACCAAAGCTGAGTTGGATTAGTTCATACTTGAAAAAAAGTGGAATTAGACATTCTCTTGAAGATAAGGAGGGACAAATTTGGTGAGGAAGAGGATGTCGATAGTGACTGAGGAGATGAGGATGACGGGGATGATGTGAATGATAGTGATGACGGTGATGAGGATAAGGGGATTGAGGAGGGGGATGATTAGGGGGAATGGGGAGGATGAGGAGGGAAACAATGAGGGGAACAAGGATGATGAGGAGGGGGTGATGAGGGGAATGAGAAGGATGAGGTGGGAGTTGATGAGGGGAATGGTGGGAATGGTGGGAATGGTGGAGATATGGATGAGGATGTCGGCGGGGATGTGGAGGTTATGTGGAGGTTGGTGAAGATGTTAATAGATTGAATATAGGTAAAGATGTGGTGGGGATGATGGTAATGATCAAGTGGGCCTGGATTCAATGGAAGTGGATGATAACATCTTTGTTCTAAGCCCGCGTGATATTGGGTTGATTGAAGACATGAGTAAAACCCCTTCCATCAAAAGAACAGTTCTCTCGAGATCTCGACACGTTGGACTATCAATGTGTTCTCCCTTTGTTCCGCTTTTTAATAGAAAAGGAGTACCAAATTATCCGGGAAGGAAGGAAGTAAGGGACGTCGAGAGAGAACTGCTAGATAACTTTTGGAAGGAGAAGAATATGACCGCATAAGTGTATTCTGAATGATCTACTTTTCAATTTGTACTAAGTTTTTTCATTAATATATGTTATAAATTTGTTTCATATGTAGTGAGACATTAGTGTAGTCATCTAGAGATGTGTTGATAATACGTAAGGATTTATTGGAATTGCTTAAAGGAGAGGTAATTAGTTGCGACGTAAGTATCTATACTTTTCATGCTTCACACAATGCACGTGTAATATATAACACTAACACAATTTTGAGTGTCACATCTGAATTCTTCACTTTTTATATGTGATCAAAGGTAAAGATACTACAGACACAAAAACATTATTAGGAAACTGGAACTGAAGCAAAGCAGTTGTCCATATTTTGAATCTGATAGAGTGCTTGGAATTGAATAAACTAATTCGGAAAACATTGTTAGGAAACTGGAACTGAAGCAAAGCAGATGTCCATATTTTTTTATTTTTTAAGTTGGAAATAGACATTTTGTCAACTATTAGTTGGTAAAAGATCAATTGAAACTCTTCACAAACTTTATATGATTTCAAATGAAAAGGAAAGAGTTGCCATTCTCTGTCGTAATAACCAAGCTTAACTAGCATTTTACCTCGGAGTCGCTCCTATCTAGAGCTTCTAAAAAAACAGTTAAGATGAATAGTAGGGGACTCTGGGAGTAATTATTCACACAATGCACGTGTAGTATACAACACTAACATTTACAATTATATTATCTGCATTTCAGGTTATAGCCTCCTATGTTGTGCTTATAAATAGGTTGATGGAGACGCGTCCAAACCATGCAAATGACATATACATATGTAGTCTATGGGTAACTGTAAGTAGAAATCCAATCCGAGATTATAAGTATTATTCATAAGGTATATTGAATACTTAATCTTAACTTTCTTTGTTTTTTTAGAGATACATCAATGAAAATAACTCGTCGAGTGTGGATCGAATGTTTAAGCCAATAACAACTACTCGATTCCATGAACTTGATAAGATTATTTTCTCACTCCTAACTTCATTTCATTGGCATATGTTGGTATTCTCTGTAAAGGATAAAAGATTTTATCATTATTCTTCTCTACACAGATATATGTCCGATGCTAGTGATTTTAGAGTGAAGCTTATTTCTACCATTCCCGATGCTTGGAATTTAGACATTACTTCTTATCAGGAGGTAGAAAGTATTGACGTACCTCAACAACGTGGGTTAGTATATTCGACTTATTCATTTGTTGTTATTTCATATGTGCTAATACATAGAAACTATATAATTATGGGCCAAGAGTGTTATATTGGTATTGCAAACATTTGAACTTGCAATAGCTTGGATTACGGGGTGTTCTTGATGGCGTACATGTTTATCCTTGTTTCCGATTAACCAATTTCAATTGACCAATAGGATTGTGCAAGACATAGTGCTCATATCGTTGCTTTATTTCTATCTGAAGGTATATTTTCCATAAGTGTAATGTTCATCGAACCGCTTATATTTAGTCTATTGCTCTATTATTCTTTTGATCCGGTTATATTTTGATTTTAGGAGACAAATGTGATCCTCAAGACTAATTCCCCAGATACTAAACACCAAATGTGATATCAATAGTTAACCAAGTGTAAACATATGTTTGGAAATTGATTTGTAAAGTATTTGTAATATCAATAGTTAACCAAGTGTAAACATATGTTTGGAAATTGATTTGTAAAGTATTTGTATTAATGTATGTTTGTCAGTATGAACATATTGTAAAGTATTTGTATTAATGTATGTTTGTCAGTATGAACATATGTTTGTCATTATGAAACCTATGGGACTGCTGTTGGAATATAGCTTGTTATGCAAGTTGTATATAGTTTGTTTGTCATTATGAAACATATGTTTGTATGAACGTTGTATATAGTTTGTCAATTGCATTCTTTGGTTATATTACTGTTGTTATGTGGCTTCTATGGTAGATTTGATGATAGATCTATAGATTTGATGATAGATAAATAGATTTGTATGAATGTTATGCTATAAGTATATCACATTATTCAGTAAGTATAGTACATTAACCTATAAGTATAGCACATTAACCGTAAGTATAACATGTTATACTATAAGTATAGCATATTATACTGTAAGTATAGGATGTTATTCAGTAAGTATAGCATATTATTTAGTAAGTATAACACGTTAACATGTAAGTATAACATATTATACTATAAGTATAGCACGTTATACTGTAAGTATAGCACGTTATTTAGTAAGTATAGCACGTTATTTAGTAAGTATAGCACGTTATTCAGTAAGTATAACACGTTATTTAGTAAGTTACTGTAAGTATAGTACGTTATTCAGTAAGAATAGCACGTTATTCAGTAAGTATAGTACGTTATACAGTAAGTATATCACGATATCCTGTAAGTATAGCACATTATCATGTAAGTATAGCACGTTATAAGGTAAGTATAACACGTTATTCGGGTAAGTATAGCACGTTATCCTGTAAGTATAGCACATTATATAGTAAGTATAACACGTTATTCAGTAAGTATAACATGTTATATTATAAGTATAGCACGTTATTCAGTAAGTATAGCACGTTAAACTGTAAGTATAACACGTTAATATGTAAGTATAGCACGTTAATCTATAAGTGTAGCACGTTAGCTTGTAAGTATAGTATGTTATTCAGTAAGTATAGCACGTTATACAGTAAGTATAGCACGATAACAAACACATATCCTACATCCAAAATTATAGCTCGTCTTACATCCAAAAGTATAGCATGTCTTACATCCAAAATTATAGCATGTCTTACATCCAAAATTTTTGCTCATCTTACATCCAAAAGTATAGCGCAAAATATATCTAGTCTGCAATAGGTTGTCTACATATTCTACGGTTGCGACCATACTGTTGACATCGACTATATTTTAACTCTTTGCCCGGATTCAATCCTGAAAGAATGCGCTTTGTCCTTGGTCTTTCACGAAGAATTGATGTTGTCGGTGGCTAAATCACTATATTTTTATCATCTATATATGGCTTGTCATCGTCAGAAATTGGGTATATCAGAAATGAATAGCATTTGCGGTATGTCTCCACACTAAAATAGTGGGAAATTTAGGAGTAAAGGGTGTCGTTATTCTGTCGAATAATTGTCGCCGCATGTTTTCAAGGTAGCCCGATAACTTACCATTCACGACAAGTGCATGTGCGTTCATTCAAATCTACTTCAACAGTGGGAAAATCATACACCTCGTACCTTGCTGTAGTAGAAGGAATTACAGAAAGACAACGTGATTAGTCACTGATATGAATAAGGTGCTCTTCTACAGTAGGAACAAATGTTGTGGTCCACTTGTGGGATGCCTCATGCATTTCAAAACTCATCCTCAACATTTTCTTTCGAATATTATCAATTATTTGTGTAATTGACAAATAACGAGCTTCTTTGATCCAAGAATTGAATAACTCTGCTAAGTTTGATGTCAACCATTCATATCTACATGCATTTTATATTAATAGTAAGTATAGCAGGAACATATATATCAAAGATTTGCATTTAAAATTTTGTATAAATTTAAATTTAACCTCTTCCCAAGGAAATAACAATTAGCCCAAATTTCTGGACTCATCCTCAATATTTCGTTATAGGCGATCTCTGATTTGTTCCGTAGCTTATTGCATTCATTGTTATAGGAACGAGAAGTGTATGCATAAGCAGCCCTCTTCATAATTTTCACACATTCATCTCGTAAAGGTGGTGTAATGCATTTTTTCAATAAGTTATTCTTAAAATTAGCCAAAAGATGACGAATACTATAAGAGTGATGTGACCATGGAAAGTATTTCTTCATGGAATTTTGAAGTCCTTTGTCCCTATCGGAGATTAACACCAGTTTATCATCAGGAGTATATGGATCTTCATTATTGAAGAGAATATCTCGAATGCATTCCAAAAACCATTCCCAATTACTCTCATTCTCCATCCCGCATATGCAAATTGCTACGAGAAACATACCTCCATCTCCATTTAGAGAAGTTACGGCAAGTAAGGTTCCTTTATACCTATAAAAGAAAAGAACAATCATGAATCAAAGTATAATATTTTACTATGAAGTGGTACATTAATGCAAGTTGATAAGATTGAACTCTACCATACGACCTATCAAAAAGATGTGTACCATCCAAGAACAAGATTGTCCTACATCCTTCCATCAACCCCTTCCAACAAGCATAATAAGACACAAATACTTGTGTGAATCTTCCATCTTCATGCTCTAAGTGAACAATTAATCTCAGATTAGTTTCTATAATTTTATCCTTATACTATCGAAGTTGGTCATATGAAAATTTAGTATCACCATACAATTCATGTTGAGCTAGCTCTTTTTCCTACCAAATTCTATGATAAGGAATGTCCAAACCAAATTCTATTTTAAGCTTCTTCTGTAAATCAATTGGGCGATAAGTGAGTTGTTCCTTCAATATAGTCTTGAGATGATTAGCATTCCACTTACGAGATGCCCGGTGATATCCTTCTTTTCCTATGCCTCCTCCCAAGCAACTATGAGAACTATAGATTTTTTCACATAGAATCGATCACTATCTCTACGACGGGTACAATGAACCATCCATTCGTACTTTACGGCATTACATTTTGTTGTCACTCTTTTGCATTTATTTTTTACAAATTCAAAGTTAAATCCTCGTGCAATAGAGTAATTACTTATACTCTGCCGACAATGCTCAACATCATCAAAGTCTTGACCAACACTTCTAATAGCATTGTGTCATGCAATAGGAATCATACTAGAGCTCCCAACTTCCTGAGACATATTTTGTGAAGACGATGGATTTTGTGAATGAGAAACATGTTCGTCATTAGAGGGAATATATGGATTACTGCATAGAAAAATGTACAAGAGTTAAGAAAGTGAAAATGTTAAAAGTATAAAACTATAACAAAAGTGAAAATTACCTTATATGGATATTATTAGCTTGTATCCCAAATAATATTTCTCGATTCATCTCAACGTTCATGACAACAATATTCTCTTTGTAACTTCGATGTACATTGATCATTCTTAAGACATCATTATCATTACATACACGCACATAAATTTCTTGTGTGTGGAGTACTTTGTAATTCAACTATATCGTGTTTGCACTACAAGCAATTATGCTTTGCACTGCAACCGCTAAATCTTTGTAACTCCCGTTGACATTTAATTTTAAGAAGTGATTGTTTCCTCTAAAACCCGTCAATGCACAATACAATTATTCATCCATCTATATTTGTCACCAAAAATAAACAAATTTAGGAAAAATTTCATCAAAGATAGACATCAAAAATTAATACAACTAAAATACTACTATAGGTTAACGTACTATACTTACAGTTTAACGTGCTATACTTACAAGATGATGTGTTGTACTTACTGAATAACGTGCTATACTTACAGGATAACGTGCTATACTTACAGGATAACATGTTGTACTTACAGTTTAACGTGCTATACTTACATGTTAACAAGCTATACTTACAGGATAACGTGCTATATTTACAGGTTAATGTGCTATACCTATACTTACAGGTTACGTGCTATACTTATAATTCTTGTATTTCATGCTATCCTTACAGGTTATCATTCTATACTAATATCAAATTCAACTAAAATTTCATCAATTATAACAAATTCCACTAATAACAAATTTAACTTTTTTTATGAATTCATAAATAATATTAAGAAATTAGTGTGAAATAATAATGTGAAATTAATAGGTGATTAATTACAATACCTTATTTAACTAATATTTTATAAAAAATAACAAATTAAAAAAAATTATGAACTCATTTAACTAACAACATCAAATAATTTTCATGCATAAAATGGGAAATTAATGCTATAAACTAAGTAGTTGAGAAAATTAAAAAATTGTACCTTCAAATGCTAAGAAAGTTGGCGAGGATTAATTGATGGGTTATAAGGGCTACCGGTTTGTCATCCTCTCCCATGTTTCTCTCTCTCTCTCTCCGTTTTCCTTTATTTTTTTTAAAAAGGAGCCCCACTTAATGAAGGTTATAATAGGAGTTTAAGAAAAATATTTAGGGGGACCCACATATGAAAGTATTATATTTTAGGGATTAGGTTTAAAGATAAATATAAAAAAAGAGTTGGGCTTAGAGATATAAGTAATAATACTTGGGTTTAAAGATAAAATAGAGTAAACAAATGGCCCCAAAAACAAAAAACCCTTATTTTTATTAGGAAAATTTGATTAAGAAAGTTTTCGTTATAGTAGGAATTCTCTTGAGGCTATGTATATGGTCACTCCTAGCTAGGTTTTTTCTATCTTTATTTTTGTGAAAAATATTATAGAAGACATTGGTCTTAAAGTTATTGAAGTTCAATAGACTCCTGGTATTCGGTCTTGGATTTATTCGGCTATTTCATCGGGTTTCTAGGATTCGCTCTTAGATTTCTTGGGCTATTAGATCACTTTGTCGATGATCTGATAGAGGTTTCACACACTCTTTATCGACTGACGTGAAATCAAATTAGGGTTCTTATCAGATAGGAAATTTATTGAGCTCTAACATTGGACTAGAAATCTATATATTAAAGTAGAACTTTCTAACATTGGACTAGAGATCTATATATTAAAGTAGAACTTTCTAAATCCATATATTTAAGCAGAATTGTCGGATGTTTCGGTCACAGTAACTTAAAAAGTTTTTGTGCATTTGTTTTACTTTTACATAAAGACATTTCGGCTTTTGACACTTAAGTTATATATAAACTAGTCTCTGCAAGACCAATGCCTTTTCTTCTGTTATTCATATCGGACGAACTTACTCCATGTACATTCATATCGGACGAACTTACTCTGTGTACATACATACATAGAGATGTACTTAATGTTGGTGCATACTGTTCACAATAGTATTGATAATAGTGTTAGTAGTGGGTTTTAGTTCTACATTGGCTGTGAGAACACACCTCACCCTCTTCTACTTGTATAAATATATGTGCACACTCAATATTCAACTCGATGGGGAATTTACTAAACTCTCTCTCTCTCTCTCTCTCTCTCTCTCTTACTTTAACATGGTATCAGAGCTAGGGTTATTATTTTACTTTTAATAAAAAAAATTAACGCTTCTGTGTTCTTTTGCCAAATCTTGGCCTTGCTGCTTTGTGTAGGCTGTCTAAAAATCACAATGGATAGTTGAGTCTCCATCGAACACTGATGATGGAAGTTACAA